TGAGAAAGCTATTGAAGAAGAAAGACGACGAGTTACAGCTGCTCAAAAAGGGGGAAGCGGATAAGTTAAAGGAAAAAACTGACAAACTGGAGGAGTTGAAAAGAGAAAAAGATGCTGGAGCAAAGCTGAGCAAAGAGAAAGACGAGGAACTGAAAACATTGAGGGCTAAATTGGAGAGTTTGAGAAAGATTGACAAGGGAGGCGAAGTAGCAACCGCTGCTGCATCGAAAGGTAAAATACTTGTGGACAGTGATGAGTGGCACAATTTGAAGAATGACGAGATGAAGACGAGGCAAGAGTTATTGAAGAAGGACGAAGAGATCAAAAGAAGGCTCGAAAAGGAGAGAGAAGATAAGGAAGCACTGCAGAAGTTAAAGAAAGAGAATCAAGAAGTGATGCAAGCCAATGCGGCTGAAACACGGATGCTAAGGGACCAAGTGTCGTCGCTTCACGAACTAGAGCAGCGTCGCAAGCAAACATGGGCATTGACAGGCGAGACACGGTTCCTGAGTGGCTTCATAGTCGATGCACATAGAAGACGGCCGGTGCCACCGGAGACTTGGCGCAATGTCCAAGCAACAAATGATCATTGTTACACTTATGTCCCATATACTGCAGGGAGCTCCTCAGCATTTCCGTCAATAAATTGGGCAAGGGTGGATGAAGAGCCCAAAGATTGGCCACCTCCCCCTCCGATCGGAGCGCAATGTCAGTCTGGTCAGTTCGACAAAAGCAACTGGTGGTTTATGAAAACATATAGTCCTGAAGGCCGCCTGGCGATGGTGGCTTATTACGACGGCAGTCAAACTTGTTTTACTATCCCCGACTATCTTCCCCCTCTCCGACTTCCCTTTCCAATCAAGTCTAAGCTGTTCACAACTACACCTTTCTTCCTGGTTCAGCTGGATGGCGCAGTCAAGCTTGTTTTTACGTACCGTGACTAGGTATAGGGTTATCGATCGGCAGATGGCAGCTGCTACCTAGTCTGTAATTCGTTTCAACTTTGGCTTGTTTATTTATTTGGTGTATGTGATTTTTAGATTTTCTCATGGAACTTGTACCTTTTCTATTGATTCCCCATTGTTGAACGCATTTGTATTTACTTATTTATTGTTATTACTTTCTTTTTTTATTTAGTCACGAAAATGAAATTTCTCCTTTATTTGGTTGAGAAATGCTAATAAGGGAGATGAAACAGCAACGGCAATGAAAGGGAAAATACTGGTGGATAGTGATGAATGAGACAAGTTGAAGTAGGATGAGGCGGAGATGAGGTAAGATGTAATTAAGAAGGACGAAGAGATTAAAATAAGGCTAGACAATAAGAGAGAAGATAAGGAAGCACTGCAAAAGTCGATGAACGAGAAGGATGTCCAATCCATAAAGCTAAGGAAAGAAAAGGAAGAAATGATGGAGCGATTGTGGTTGAAATAAAAAAGGGTTATAGGTAAAATATGCCCCTCTACTATGACGATTTATCAAACGTGCCCCTCAACTATTTTTTACATCAAATATGCCTCTTACATTGAAAAAATTATCAAACATGCCCTTCTGTTAAAATTTTCATCCAAAAACCGTTAACCAAGGCCGAACTTTGGTTTAGGTGACACAAATGTCTAAAATATCCCTAATAATTTCACTTTAGAAATTTTTTTGGTTCTTTTGTATAGCCAAATAATTTCACTTTGAAGAGACCCAGAGAAATAAAATGGGAGACAAAACTGACATTTTCGCTCCCATTTGCAGATGCCGGGTCGTCTAAATCTCGGTTCAACCATGATTGTCGATTTTTTCAATGAAAAGTTTAACAGAAGGGCATGTTTGATAATTTTTTCAAAGTACAGGGGCATGTTTGATGTAAAAAAATAATACAGGGACATATTTGATAAAACGTCATAATAGAGGGGCATATTATACCTATAACCCAATAAAAAAGCTAAGGGACCAATTGCCACAATTTCATGAGATGGATCAATGTCGCAAGCAACCGTGGAAATGGACAAGTGCCACCAGATACTTGGTCCGACGTGGTACCTAGTCATTGTTACAATTATGATCCATATGCCACGATGGGCAGCTCATCATTCTCGACAATACATTGGGCTAGGGTGGATGAAGAGCCTAAAGATTGATCTCTTCTGCCTAAAATTGGTGTATCATGACAGTCTGGCCAATTGGACAACCAAAACTGGCGGTTTATGAAGACATTCCACCCGGACGGGCTTTTGACGATGGTGGCTTATTATGAGGGCAGTCAACCTTGTTTTAACAACCATAGCAACTACACTATCCAACTTCCATTTCCAAGAAACTCCAAATTTTTAACAGCTATACCTTTCTTCTTGTTTCATGTGAATGGCGCATACAAGCTTGCTTTCATATACCGACACTAGCTATAAGGTGACCGAAGTCTAATTGTTAGCTAGTTTCTAGTTTGTTTCAACTTTCACTTATTTATTTATACTTACGGTGTGCGATGGTTTGGATATATTTTTGTCATGACTGTTTTTCTGCGGATTGGGAAATTGGACTATTCGACAATGTAAGAAAATGAAAGCGCACGCACACACACGACACCCGATTTACGTGGTTCACTAACACAATGTGTGTTAGCTAGTCCACAGGCAGGAGAGAGCCAGTTTCACTATACTTCAAGGAGATATAGATTATAGAGGAGTATGAGAAGTATTTATAGTACTTAATTCTCCAATTCAAGTCACATAAACAAGTCTCCACCTTGACTTGAATCCTCTTTCTCTGAAATCTTTGATGTACTATGATCCTTCTCTCCTTCCTATCATCAATGCCCCTTAGGGCGGATTCACCCACTCAAGACATTCAACAAGTCTTAAGCAGTGTTGGAACTTGCCATGTGGAACCGGCTTCGTGAATATGTCAGCTGGATTATTTGCGGTGCCAAACTTCTTCACCTTAATCCTCTTCTTTGTTCACAAGAAGTGATACCTCACATCGATGTGCTTAGTCCTCTCATGGTGGACTGGATTAGTGGCCAAACATATTGCACTCAAACTGTCGCAATACACCACTGTCTAATCATGATGTAGACCCAGATCCTCAACCATTCCCTTCAACCATATTCCCTCCTTAGCAGCTTCTGTCAACGCCATGTACTCTGCTTTAGTAGTAGACAATGTCATTGTTGACTGCAGAGTTGCATTCCATCTCACTACAGAACTCCAAAGAGTGAATACATAACCGGTCATCGATCTCCTCATGTCAACATCTCCAGCATAGTGAGAATCTAAATAACCAGCCACTAAGCACTCTGTATCACTTCAGAAGTTAATCCACCCATGAGACGTACCCTTAAGGGATCGAAAGATCCTCTTCACAGCCTGTCAATGCTCCTTCGCAGGTTGTATCATAAACCTGCTAATAACACTAACAACATATGCAAGATCAAGTCTAATGCATACCATAGCGTACATCAAACTACCAACTGCACCAGCTCAATATACCACCCTCATGAGGTGGTCACCCTTATAATATGGTGAGGGAGATGATTGACATACTGCCGCCCCATGAGGTGGTTAGGTGGTCACTAAATCATGTCCGTGTTGAGGAACTTGTAGAATGTAGACTGAAAGTCCTACCACGTTGGTCGCTCAAGTCTTTTTTTATTATTTTATACCAATGTCTTTCTTAATTGTGCAATTATTTGGGTTGTTGGCTAAGTAAAACGCGAAAATATTAAAAAATGACTACATTTTACTATTTATTAATGAAAGTCGTTCTTTTTATAAAGACAAGAGCATCTTTCGGAAACACAATTTCATAATATAACCAATTTAATTATTTCGATTTTGATTTAATCATTCCAATGAGGACTTTGTCTGGTGAGCTTATATTTTGTTTTCAACTTCGAAGTTTCAAATTCGAATGTCAAAGTGAACCTTCACTTCTCGCACAAACCCATTCAATATAATTAGAAAAGACGATTAACCCTCAACCCCATTAGAATAACTTTTAGGCAAAATTTCATGAGTTGTCTACAAATTATCCTTATTTGAAAACTTATTTAATGTTCATAAATATACATATATAACTTTTTTTGGGTGTGATACAGATAGAACTTTCAATAAAAAACAAATAAAATAATTGTAATTGATATTAAACCTAGCCCGGGTCAGAGATAGAGTGCATAACATTTAATCTTGCATTTGTGTATAACCTACTTAGTTTTAGTAGGGCTGATTGATTGGTGAAACTAAGTAAGAGTTTATTTATTTTTTAATTGACTTGTATCTTTATTTTAATCCGAATAAAAAAAAATGTACAGAAGAATTTTGTTCATTGTGATCTAGATAAGAATATCCATTTTTTATAAAATTTCAAGAAAAACTATTGTACCGTCCATTACCACTCTCTACCATCGTTCATTTAACTCAAATTTTGAATTGGTTCATAGAAGAAATGAGTTCATCATAATCTACATAATGATATCAATTGTCAATATATTTTTTTTAAAACTTTTTTTGGAGCAAATATGCTATCCTATATCATTAATATTATGTACTATCAAAATTTACTACAATGGTACACATTAGTAAAATATACCTCAACTTTGTTCTATTTTTTTTTCCAGATTATATGAAAATGAATGTCATTTCGAAAAGTATGATTAATATGATTTTTCTGTGAATATTTTTGAATTCAACATAAAAAGTCTACTTTTTTTTATGAATTGATTACTGGCCATATATACTCCCATATCCTATGTAGCAGATCATGAAAAGTCTCCTTCTACTTTTTTATTAGAATGTGTTTATGCAATCAATATTAGTATATTTCTAATGGACGATAAGAACTATATACACCTACTGTTTAAATATTGTTTAAGGCAAGCCTTCGGCTGGAGTTCTATATATTAATATATGGTGGGTGGCACCATACATATTTTGCAATTCCATTCCCAATCTCCTTGTGACCAAATTCGCATTAGTTCCCAATCTCTGACCACTACTCATCTCTATCTTACAATGGTTCTCTTTGATTTCAAATCAGACAAGCACTTCGTTGCTTCCTCTGACAAAATTACCATTCATGTATACGAGCTGACCAACCTTACTATCCATCCTTCCCGCATCAGAAAGACTCATTGGCGGGAAGTTGCTAGCATCACTCCAGCTCCTGATCATCAGGATGGCGGTGACGACGACGAGGATCAAGGCGATGCCAATGAAGATGTTGCAGTATCGGAGGAGGAGGAGTCCTACAACGGGCTGATGTTCTTCGATGGTCACGGGAAGATCGAGGGACAGGAGGCGTTGACCAAGCTAGCCCAACACCTCACTCGCCTGCGGTTGATAGTGAGCCCCCAAGGGCAAAGTTTTCAAGATGTTGCCGAATTGGGAGAACACAAAGAGTTTGGGATTCACTATCTACGATTAAACGATCTCTTCAACTGGCCGGATCATGGGGTCAACATGGCGAGCGTGACCACCTGGCCACGCATCGTGTTAAAGTACACCATAACAAAACGGGAGAAGCGACCTATGATGAATGAAGGGGTGAGCAAGGAGAAGTACGAGGAGTTGAAAAAAATGGTGAGCCAAAAAGACAAGGCGTTAGAAAAGCTGAAAGAGGAGATGAAGGAACAAGATAGGGAGATACAAACATTAAAGGAAGAAAGAGAGGATGCAAGTGAACGACAGGAGGCAGAACTGCGAGAGTTGGAAGAGGAAAAAGATGAGGTGCTGAGAAAGTTGTTGAAGAAGAAAGACGACGAGTTACAAATGCTGAAAAGGAGGAAGGACAAGGAGATACAAATGTTAGAGGAAGAGAAAGAGAATGCAAGTGAGCAGCAGGAGGCGGAGCTGCAAGAGTTGGAAAAGAAAAAGAACGAGGAGCTGAGAGACCTGATGAAGAGGAAGGATGACGAGTTACAAAATCTAGAAACGATGATGAATGATGAATTGAGGATTTTGAAAAGGGAAAAGGATGATGGAGCAAAACTGAGCAAAGAGAAGGACGATGAATTAAAAACAATGAGGGACGAAGTGGAGAATCTTAGAAAGGCTAATAAGGGAGACGAGGCAGGAGCAGCTGCAAAGAAAGGGAAAATACTTGTTAATACCGATGAATGGCACAAATTGAAGAAGGACGAGGCGGAGATGAGGCAAGAGGTAATGAAGAACGACGAAGAGATGAAAAGAAGGCTGAAAAAGGAGAAGGAAGAAAACGAAGTGTTGCAAAAGTTGATGAACAAAAAGGACGCGGAATCCGAAAAGCTAAGGAAAGAGAAGGAAGAAACGATGCGAGCGAACGCAACTGAAACGCGAAAGCTGAGAGACCAATTATCACAAGTTCACGAGGTGGAGCGACGTCGTACTCAATCGTGGGCGCTTACCGGTGCGACACGATTCCTCGGTGAATACGTGGTCGACGTGCGCACGAGACGGCCGGTGACCCAGGACACGTGGCACAATATTAGAATTGAGGTACCGCGTGACCATTATTATGTTTACGAACCAAGCACCAACCGGAGCTCCTCGCCTTTCCCGATGAGAAATTGGCTCGTGGTGGATGAAGAATCCAAAGATTGGCCGTCTCCTCCTAAGGTCGGTGTACACTGTCAGCCAGCTGGCCAATTCGACAAAGCTAATTGGTGGTTCGTGAAGTCATTCCACCCAGATGGTCGTTTGGCGATGGTGGCTTATTACGACGGCAACCAGACTTCTTATGCCGACCCAAACTATCTTTACCCTGTCCGACTTCCCTTTCCAAGGAACTCTAAGGTTTACACAACTGTACCGTTCTTCCTGGTTCCAGCGAATGGAGGAAACAGGCTTGCTTTCATGTACCGAGACTAGGTAGGTTGGTTGGTTGAGGGCAGGCTGGTTTCCTTTTTTGTTTCAACTTTTCCTTGAGTATTGGTTTGGTGTGCGACAGTACGGATATATTTAGTATCAGTTTTGAATTGAACTGATTACAACTAAAGCCATACTCTTATTGCAATTTGATTTGGGTTCACACCCTAACTTGGGCAGAAGTTTGGTGTAAGTGTCAGTTTTCGCCCGAATTTTTAATAAGAAAGTTATGACCAACTTTTTAAAATAATGGACAGGCTGACACTTACGGTGAAATTCGGACCAAACTAGAATATTAACCCATTTGATTTTGATGTCACCCTATATTTCATTTGTTTTGATAAGCTTTCTTTAAAAAATGTCATTTTGTCTTTGCGGAGGACTTCGGTTGTGCTTTAAAGAACTTATCATCCATGTATTTGTTTGATACAATATTATCGATGCAGTGATTTTATTTTTCAAATACACAAGTAGATAACGTTAGAAGAAAATTAAAAAAATCGACCCAGGAACTTTCTCAAAAAAGCAACATATATATAGTAGTGAAACCAACCTAAGAAAATCATCTCAGCCTTATGGTTCTCTTTGATTTCAACTCAGACAAGCACTTCGTTGCTCCCTCTAATAAAACTACCCTGCAACTCCCAATACTTCATTGTCGCGACAACTTTACCATTAGTTTATCTTACTTTTGGTCTTGAGTCCGTCATTTGGATCGGACCAAATGGGCGATTTACCGCATTTATAACTTTATTTAACGCGATACATAAAATTTTTACGTGAGATATAAGATTGTGTTTGTCTCTAAAGGCTATTAAAATTGTCTTTCAAATGACATAACTATAAGTGACATTTGTATTTGTCTCTAAAGATTATTAGATTGTCTCCATATGACATAATTATAAGAGACATCTGTATTTGTCTCTAAATACTATTAGATTTGCGTCTATATAATATATGTATAAGGAGCATTTATATTTGCATCTGAAGACTATTAAATTTATCTCTATATGACATAAATATAATCAACATTTGTATTTGTCTCTAAAGACTATTAGATTTGCCTCTAGAGACAAATAATTTCACTAACTGAGACAAATGATATATTTGCCTCTAAGGCTTAGCTATAGAGACCACTATAACAATTGCCTCTAATTATTTGCCTCTATAGACTAGTTTTCTTGTAGTGTTTCTTCGGAAACAGAGCGAAAAACTTCAGAACTCACTATCTCCGGTTAAATTATCTTTTCAATATAGCCCAATCATGGGGTTGACCAAAAACGTTGGGTTCAGACGCGGCCGGAGGAGAAGGATCGCGTTAAAGATATGGGGGTGTTCTTACGGAGGATCAGGGACAGGTGTCCATTGAATATGAAGATATACGCTTAATTTTCCTTTTGTGAAAGGCTTTCGAACGGTAGGAATTCGGTGGTCTTTCGGAATTCTCATTCGGTTGGGGGTGTAGTGGTTCATGACGATTCGAGGTGATGGTGGCTGCATTTGGGAGGCTGTTTGCCAGGTTGGTGGAGCCGGTGGTTGTGGAGTTGATGACCTTACGAGAAGCTATTCAATGGTGCGTGGATGCTCAGGTCTACGAATCATTACGAAAAGTCGTTCAGTCGCTACTAGAACATCATCAAATCACTATTAGAAATGAACATGATAAAAGTTTAAGATATGTGTTAAGCACCCCTGCATTACTAAATTTGGGCCCTTAGTTTTGAGTGGGCCCAGATATAAAGGCTAAAAATGATTTTTTATTTTCATTAGTTTTCTTAATTGACTCTTATCTTTTTCGCTCTAACTGAGTTTCAATATTTTTTGCATAGATGTAACGAGTTCTTTGAGATATACAAAATGAGATCAATTATCAATATATTTAAGAAAAAATTTCATACCACTCGTTACCACCTTGGTATCACCTGATATCACCTTTGTTTTTAACTCGGACTTTGAATTTTTTTGCACATATCAAATGAGTTCATCGTGATCTATTGAATCTACAAATTTATGGAAAAAAATAGAGGACCAAACTATACTACTCCATACCACCCTGGTACAGAGGTGATAACTAATGATAAACAATAATGAATATGATAAATGACAGTTCGTATATTTCTATTATTATGTATTCAATCATACTACACTCTGATATTTTCATACCACTGTACTAAATTTTCATATGACGGGGTATGATCTTATGTAGTTCCTAAGCTCAATATGTTAGATAGATGTCATAGTCAATCAATCATGTCCACGTGGAGTGACTGACCAACCACGCCGGTCGCTGAAGTCTTTTTTTAAAATATATTTACTAAAGTCTTTCTTAATTATGTGATTATTAGGGGGTTTATTGATAAAAATGATGATTAGGGTTGTTGGCTTAGCTGTTAATGCGTACCCATGCGAAGACATTTAAAAATGACTACATTTTCTACTATTTATTAATCAAAGTCATTGTTGTTTTATATTTCATCGTTAAAATAATAACTTGATAAGATCTGCAGCCTGTTCTGCATTTTGTATTTTTGTTAAAAAATGGTAAGATATACTCGTTGACTAGCGTGTATAAAGTGTGCAATAATTACTCTTTTTCTTTAAAATAAATAATAATAATTGGAGCTAAATTCACGAAGACATTGCTATTTATTAATATGGCAATTCCATTCCCAATCTCCGATCAAATAGAAAAACTTAGTCGTTTTTAAATATTATTGTGGTTTACTAAACCAACAACCCCAATAATAGCACAAACTCCGTCTTCTACTTTTTTATTAGAATGTGTAGTTAATTATGTAATCAATATTAATATATTTTAAATTGGATGATAAGAACTATATACATCTACTGTTTAAATGTTGTTTAAGGCAAGCCCTCGGTTGGAGATCTATATATTAATATGGTGGTCACCATACCAGTTTTGCAATTTCATTCCCAATCTCCGATCGAGTTCATCAGCAAGGATCGGAGCAGAAAGTATTCCCCACAAGTACCCCTCCTTAATTTTTGCCAAATTTGCATTAGATTCCAATCTCTGACCACTCATCTCGATCTTACACAATGGTTCTGTTTGATTTCAAGTCAGACAAGCACTTCATTGCTTCCTCCGACAAAACTACCCTGCATATATACGAGCTTACCAACCCTACTATACATCCTTCCCGCATAAGAAAGACTCATTGGAGGGAAGTCGCCAACATCACTCCTGCTCCTGATCACCATGATGGCGACGATGAGGACCAAAGCGATCCCGACGAAGACGATGCAGCAGCAGGTGAGGAGGAGGAGGAGTCCTACAACGGGCTGATGTTCTTCGATGGTCACGGGAAGATCGAGGGACATGCGGCGTTGACCAAGCTAGCGCAACACCTCACTCGCTTGCGATTGATAGTGAGCCCCCAGGGACACAGCTTTCAAGATGTTACCAAGTTGGGGGAACACAGAGACTTTGGGATTCACTATCTCCGGTTGAATGATATCTTCAACTGGCCAGATCACGGGGTTTGTATGGCGAGCGTTACCATGTGGGGACGCCTCGTGTTAAAGTACACCATACCAAAACGGGAGAAGCAATCGGTGACGAGCGAGGAGGCGAGCAATGAGAAGTACGAGGAGCTGAAAAAGATGGTGAGCAAGAAGGACGAAGAGATAGGAAAGCTGAGGGAGGAGATGGGGGAACAAGCTAAGGAGATACAAATGTTAAGGGATGCAACTGAACAACATGAGGCTGAGCTACAAGAGTTGGAAAAAGAAAAGGACGAGGAGTTGAAAAAGCATTTGAAAAAGAAAGATGCCGAGTTACAAATGCTTAAAAAGAGGAAGGATAAGGAGGTACAAGCGTTAGAGGAAGAGAGAAAAGATGCATATGAACAACATGAGGCGGAGCTGCGAGGGTTGAAAAAGAAAAATGACGAGGAGCTGAGAGAGTTGATGAGGAAGAAAGATGATGAAGTACAAGTGATGGAAAAGAGGAAGGATGATGAGTTAAAGGAAAAGAACGAGGAGTTGAAGACGATGGAAAGAGAAAAGGATGAGGGAGAAAAGCTGAGCAAAGGGAAGGATGAGGAATTAAAAACATTGAGGGACGAAGTGGAGAATTTGAGAAATAATGCTAATAAGGGAGATGAAGCCGGCGCTGTAAGAGAAGGTAAAATCCTAGTGGATAGTGATGAATGGCAAAAGTTAAAGAAGGACGAGAAGGAGCTGAAGCTAGAGCTAACGAAGAAGGACGAAGAGATTAAAAGGAGGTTAGAAAAGGAGAAAGAAGATAAGGAAGCACTGCAAAAGTCGATGAACGAGAAGGATGCCGAATCCAGAAAGATGAAGAAAGAGAAGGAAGAAATGATCCAGGCGCATGCAGCCGAAACGCGAAATCTAAGGGTCCAGGTGTCTCAACTTCATGACCAGGAGCATCGTCGCAAACAACCATGGCAATGGACAAGTGCGACACGGTTCGTACTCAACGTACACCACCGGCGGCCAGTGCCGCCAGGTACTTGGTCCGATGCGGTACCCAGTCATTGTTACAATTATGATCCATATGCCACGACGGGCGCCTTGCCGTTCCCCAGAATAAATTGGGCTATGGTGGACGAAGACCCTAAAGATTGGCCTCTTCCCTCTAAGATTGGCATATCCTGTCAACCTGGCCAATTCGACAAAAACAACTGGTGGTTTATAAAGACTTTCCATCCAGACGGGCTCTTGACGATGGTGGCTTATTATGACGGCACTTACCCTAGTTTAAACGATCCCGGCCACTACACTATCCAACTTCCCTTTCCAAGAAACTCAAAATTTTCGACTGCCATACCTTTCTCCCTGCTTCTGGTGAATGGCACATACAAGCTTGCTTTCATCTACCGGGACTAGCTATAACGTGATCCAAGTCTTGTTGTTGGCTAGTTTCTAGTTTGTTTCAACTTTCACTTGTTTGTTTATTTGGTGTGCGATGATAGTTTGGATATTTTTTGTCATCAATTTTTCTTTATCAATTTGACGGTGTTGTATTTATATTTACTTATTTACTGGTAGTTCATTTGGTCACAAAGAGGAAACAATTAATACAAGAAAAATGTCCTTTAGTTATGAGAAATCCCGTGATTAATAATTTTAGTCACTGGAAAATTACCGTAATTTAAATCTCTGTGACTAATAGAGTTCCTTTCTGCAAGTGTGATGATTGAGCAGTTGAACAAAATCAGGAGGCTTCTCTTCCATCATCTCCCTATAGATATGTCAACTTTATCCTCCTTTGTCACATTAGAAGAGGTCGGAACTGGGAAGGATTATTTTTAATTCTCCAGATGGATTCTCAACAGAGTTTGACCAAGATAATTGGGCCCTTATCGGAGAGCAAAGTGACTCAGGCAATTCAAGAATTCTTCTCAATAAGAGAGGTAAACCGAACTATTCTAGGTTCGATTCTTAATTCTCCAGATGTTGATACCAGGAAACAATTTATATCAATTTCATGCTTAAATTCATTTGATGTTAATGAATTGTCACATCTCTACCTATTTTATTAAACCGACATGAACCGTCACAAATCAGTTGTACAGATCGAACTATTCTACTAGTTGAACCGGTTTTACAACCTTGGTGATGAATGAAACGTACATGTCTTTTTCCCAAATTAGTTAGCAATATCATGACACTTTTAGTCTCCTTTTTCATTCCAAAGCTTATTATTATTATTTTTATAGGAACAATGTTAGATGGATGTTATAGTCACCGAATCATGTCCCCGCTGGTCGCTCAAGTCTTTTTTTTTTATACCAAAGTCTTTCTTAATCAGTTAATTGTGTAATTATTAGGGTTGTTGGCTTAGCTGTAAAGGTGGAAATGTTTTAAAAATGACTACATTACTATTTATTAATCAAAGTCATTATGGTTTTATAAGGACCAGAGTGGTTTCCTAGGGAGAGTTTATGAGTGTGTGGTTGGAATGTAGCGGATCCCCTCAAGAATCTATTTTTGTATAACCATCAATAAATATTTTATTAATTGTCTATTTTTGAATATATATATATATATATATATATATGGTAAAATAGAGGAATGCAGAAAAGAAACGACGCACGAGATTTACGTGGTATCTCCGGAGATTGGGACTAATCCACGGAGAGCATAGCTCTCATGCTGAAGTTCTCACTATCAATGGAGGAGAAAACAAGCTACCTCTGCGTTAGGGTTGCAGTAGGCGGCAACCAAAACACTTATACCCTTCGACAAATTAAACACGAGTATAGTGCAAATTACTGTAAGGTCCCAAAATAATAAAACTAAGCAACCAAGTCCAAACCGAGACTAATCAGGCTCAATACTCCCCCTCAAGCTGAAGCATGCAGGTTACAAATGCCAAGCTTGGACAACAGGAAGTGAAATTGCTCGGTTCCCAAAGCTTTGGTAAAGATGTCCGCAAGCTGTGAACTGCTATGAACCTTGCGCGGCTCAATGTCACCCGAAGCCACCCGCTCACGAACGAAGTAACAGTCCATCTCGACGTGCTTAGTCCGTTCATGAAAGACCGGATTAGCAGAAATGTGAAGGGAAGCCTGATTATCACAGTAGAGAATAGTGGGCGAGCGTTGAGGAACTCGCAACTCACCAAGAAGGAAGCGAAGCAATAGAACTTCGCTCGTAGTACTGGCCATGGCACGGTACTCGGCTTCAGCTGAGGAACGCGAGACGACTTGCTGCTTCTTAGCTCGCCAGGAAACATGTGCTGTGCCTAGTTGAATGTAGTAGCCTGTCATCCAGCGACGAGTCGACAGACAGCCGGCCCAATCTGCATCACAGTAAGCCGTCAACTCCAAAGTACCTGCGACAGGCAGAAAAAGCCCATGACCGGGGGAAGCCTTGAGATAACGTAGAACTTGATGCGCTGCGTCGACATGGGCAGGACTGGGAGAATGCACAAACTGGCTAAGTATGTTGACGGAGTAGGCGATGTCAGGCCGAGTGATAGTAAGGTAGAGGAGGCGGCCAATAAGACGTCGATATGCACTTACATCGTCTGCCTGTTCGTAATGTGGCTGCATGTGAGTATGATTCTACTCCATAGTAAAGCCACTGGGACGGGCCGCACCCAATCCTGAATCAGCCAAGATATCAAGGGTGTACTTGCGCTGACAAAGGATAATGCCTTCAGGTGACCGTGCAACTTCTATGCCAAGGAAATACTTGAGAGGCCCCAAGTCCTTGATGCTGAAACGGTCATGTAAGAAGGTCTTGACACGAGAGATAACGTCAGGGTTATCACCAGTCAGCACGACGTCATCGACATAAATCAAAGCGGCAACGAAACTACCAGGTCTCTCATAAAGGAAGAGAGAAGGATCAGCCTTGGAGACAACAAATCCAAACTCTCGAAGAGCCGAGGTAAACTTGGCATACCAATTTCGTGACGCTTGTCGGAGACCATAGAGAGACTTGCGCAGACGACAAACACGTTGATCGCCGGCATGGGAAAAACCCGGCGGCAGCTTCATGTAAACCTCTTCATCCAAATCACCATGGAGGAATGCATTATTCACGTCCAGCTGGTGCAAAGGCCACGATTTGTGGGCAGCAACTGCAAGAAGAACTCGAACAGTGACGAGCTTTGCAATAGGTGCAGAAGTGTCATGAAAGTCGATGCCCTCCAACTGAGTAAAACCCTTAGCAACAAGCCGAGCCTTGTATCGCTCTACAATGCCATCAGGACGATACTTGATCTTGTAAACCCACTTCGAATCAATGGCCTGCTTACCAGGAGGTAACAACTCAAGAGTCCAAGTGCCATTATCTTCAAGAGCTGTGATTTCCCGCTGCATGGCATCCCGCCATTCCTAATACTTAGCCGCTTGAGAGAAGTGACGCGGCTCGACCAGGGATGTGACAGCAGCCAAGAAAGCACGATAATTAGGTGATAAACGATCATAACTGACATAATGTGAAATGGGGTACTGGACCAAATTAGAGGAACGAGAACCATGCAACGTTACCTCATAGGGTTCGAGTCGGGAAGCAGTTGTGGGAGGAGTCTCCACGTCAGAATGCTCATCATCATCATCATCATCACTAGCTGCCTCAGTAGCATTAGGAACCGGTTCATCATGACGAGGGGAAGAGGCATCGTCAACATGGGGTCCGAAATTACCATCGGGCAAGATCAAATCAGCAGGGACCTCATCAGCCGTAATGAAAGGCGGCTCGTCAATGACGCGACTAGAGTGCTGCATGGAGAGCTCATGAACGTGAGACAGGAATGGCGCATGCAGAGGGGCCTCGGGAACGTGTGAAGAAGAGGAGGCAGGCTCACAAAAGGGGAAGCAGTCCTCGACAAAATGAGTGACACGTGAGACTAGAATGCGACGGGTCTGGAGGTCAAAAACTCGGTGTCCCTTCTGGATGCCGGGATATTCCACGAAAACACAAGGCCTCTCCCTTTCGGCAAACGTGTCAAGACCGTGGTGCGTATCCTTGACATAAACGAGACACCCAAAACTACGAAGGTGAGTGTAGGTGGGAGTTTTGCCGAGAAGCACTTCAAAAGGTGTCTTGTGGGAGATGACTGGAGAAGGTAGCCGGTTGATGAGATAAGCGACAGTGACAACGCACTCACCCCAAAAACGAATGGGGAGACCAGCATAAAACATGAGCGCATGAGCAGTTTCCAGAAGGTGCCGATGCTTACGTTCAACCACTCCGTTTTGCTGTGGCGTGTCAGTGCAAGAGGTATGAAGTAGAATACCCTTCTCCTCGTAGTAAGCACGAAGAGAGTTAGTCTGAAATTCAACTCCATTATTCTCCTGTATACGACGCACATGTTTCCCATACGGAGTGACTGTGAGTTCACAGTGCAACCTGAGATACCTCTCAACGTCCGATTTAAACTTCATAAGATAAACCCATGTGGACCGACTATGGTCATTAACGATAGCGAGAAAGAACCGCGACCCATCCAAAGCTGGAGTCTTATACGGCCCCCATATGTCAACATGAAGAAGATCAAAACAAGACAAGTTTTAATTGAAATGTGGGGAAAAGGGGTTCGTGCCTGCTTAGCACGTAGACACGAATCACAATGCAATGTATGCCGAGAATCCAAAGTACAACCCACAAAATCCCGTAATACAATCAACTTATCAACAGAAGGATGCCCTAGTCTTGCATGCCAAAGGTCCGACGCATCCACTCGACCAGCCACTTTACACGCCTGAGGGAGAGAGCCTTTAGTGATCCGACTCAAATAGTAAAGCCCGTCACGAAGCCTACCGATGTCAATCGGCGTCGTGGATGGTAAGGCCTGGAGGACACATAAGTCATGAATGAATACCACTGCGACATTATGCTCGCAATTCAAACGACTAACAGAGAACAAATTGCATTTGAAATCCGGAACATGTAAAACTCGATTCAGACGAAGAGAATCTGATAACTGCACCGACCGAATCCCATGCACGGGAATACCCTTCCATTGGGAATCTGAACTTTAGACGAACAAGATACACAATCAACATAACTTAACCAGTGTGCAGCCCGCACTATATGCTCATTCCAGCCAGAGTCAATTAACCAGGCAGAAAGATCAGGAGCGTTACCAGCCATGTGTGCAGTAAAGTCAGTAGAGGCATCGGGAGTTGATGTCGACAAGAACTGCTTAAGCTGGGCAAACTGGGTTGCGGTGAGTCCTGGAATAGGGCTGTTGTCCGAGGTTTCAGGCTCGACATGGGAAGCCTTGGGACGACGCTGAGCACTCGAGGGACGATCTTCCCCGGGCTTAGCTCGCGGATGGCCTGGCTGGTAGCCTATGAGACGATAGCAAGTCTCGCGGAGATGACCCACCTTGTTGCAATTGGTACACCGCAGCTTCTCATGATCATCCTTACGGTCCTTGTCCACCGCTTGCGCCTGAAAGGCAGCAGTGTCCGTAGGAGGGCGCCGACCATTAGTAAGGAACCTGTGTTGCTCTTCGGCAGAGACGCGTTGATAGGCATGCAAGTGTGGGTGTGGGCCGAGAGCTCAAGATTTGCGATCGAACAACCGCGTAACCATCGTCCAACCCAAGTAAAAAATCGAACGGTCTCTCTGTCTCTTGCTTCGCCTGGTGTTGTGAGATCAAGTCACAACTCACAATGACACCCGCCACAGGTGCACCCAGAGCAAATACAACGCGGCACTACACTCACGGCATCAAGCTCGTCCCAGTACGAGCGTAACTTGGTGTAAAAAGCGGAGACGGAGAGCTTCTCCTGTCGTAGGGAGCAGATCAGTCGACGCAACTCATAACCGCGTTGCGCCGATCCCTTACTAAAACGATTCTGCAAATCAGACCAGATGTCTCGCGCCGTGGAAGCCATGTGGATGCTGTTGCGTACCTCCCGCATCATTGTGGTTTTGAGCCAACCTTTAACGGTGGCATCACAATGGTTCCACGCCTATTGGCGATGCGGGGTGCCTGCCTTTGAACGCGGTAGCGAACCATCGACGAAAGCCATCTAGTTTTTGGCGATGAGAGTTTCGGTGAGATCATTAACCCACTCGCCATAGTTGAGGTCTGTAAGTAATTCACTACCAAAGAGCTGCGCCGGATTCTCAGAGGGATGGAGGTAAAGAGGTGAGCTGATGGGAATCACCTCGTTGGCCACAGAGGTGCCACCAGGCCCACCTCTCGTAGAATCCTCGTCCTTGCTCATGATGAACCAACACAAAAGGTCTTGATATTATTGCTCTGATACCATGTAAAATAGAGGAATGCGGAAAAGAAACGACGCACGAGATTTACGTGGTATCCCCGGAGACCGGGACTAATCCACGGAGAGCATAGCTCTCATGATGAAGTTCTCACTATCAATGGAGGAGAAAACAAGCTACCTCTGCGTTAGGGTTGCAGGAGGCGGCAGCCAAAGCACTTATACCCTTCGACAAATTAAACACGGGTATAGTGCAAATTACAGTAAGGTCCCAAAATAATATATAAAACTAATCAACCAAGTCCAAACACGGGTATAGTTATATTTTTTTCATTTTAAATCGTAATTCAATTTTTTTACCCAAAAAATAACACTAACTCTGCTTTTCAAAATTTCATCTACTTAGATATACTTCCGGATAAAAAAATTGATACCTATATTGCCAGTTTATACAATGATCGTAATGCTTGCAAATGAGCCAAGCCGCTCACGAGTGGCTTGACGCTCTACTCGAAAAAAGCTCATTCATAACTGGGCTCATTAGTAAATGAGTTGAGCCTGAGCTCATCCTTGTGTGGCTCATGAGGCTCACAAGTAAGCTCAACTCAGTTGCTCGTTCAGTTAAACTAGTGAGATAGCTCGTTTCTAGCTAATGAGCTGGCTCGACATTGTGGTTAGTGAGCCAGTTTGGCTAACGACTTGTGAGCGAATCAACATATATATAACTGCAGATCTAGCTTCTTAATAATTCATATGTTTGTTATATTATATATTTCATAATATATAATGGTTTAAGACATGACCAAATATGTCACGTTTATAATTTGAAAGAGAAATTATGTATTATAGAATGCATAGTTACTAATTATTATCAAATAACATGATATGAATAAGTTAAAATTATAAACTTATTTTGTTACACCAACATAGCATATAAAAATGAGATAAAGTAGGGATGAAAAATTGGCTATTATACTTTTTTTTATTATCCACATATATCATATTTGACGTACAATTACTACGGTATTCAAGTTAAAAATTATTTTAGAGTTTGATTTTATGGTTTAACCATTTAGGCTTATAAATGAGTTGAGCTCGTAAGCCAATTGATGAGTAGAGCTCGACTAGAGCTCATGAGCTTCTTAACGAGCCAAACTCAAGTTTTGGCAAAACTCGGCCCAGTTCAACTCGTACGTTAAGCAAAACTTGACTCGACTCATTTGCAACTCTAAACATGATGGTATGAATATACCATAGTGTAGAATAATTATATCATGATAGTACAAATATACTAACCACAATTTTATTATATTTTATCACTGTCTATCATCAGTTACCACCTTATACCAGGATGGTATATAATGATATATTTGGTAACGAATGGTAATGAGTGGTATACAAATTGTTTCTCAAAATATATAGAAAGTGATATAATTTTGTAAATCACAACGTGTCCGTTCCATCTGTGATTTTTTTAGGGCTAATACCACTACAACACCCGAACTATCGCGAAAATGCCACTTGTGTCCTATTGTTTCCAATATTCCATTTGTGTCCTGAACTATGATTCCGTTAGTGTTGACTTTTGTTGACCGTTAGTTTTTAACAGAAAATCCAGTCAGTGCTGATGTGGCATCTGACGTGGAATTTGAAATATTAATTTTTATTTATTTTTCTATCTAATATTAATAAATAAGAAAAAGAAAATAATTTTTATTTATTTTCTCTCTTTCCTCCTTTCTTTTCTCCTGTCGACGATTTCGAACTCCACCGATAGAGAGAGAAAGCGAGCGTGAGAGAGGGGAAATCAGAGAGGCAGACTGTTGGCGACTGGAACCCGACCGTTCAGCTTCCCTTCCGACGATACTTTTTTCCAATTCGATTTGTACATCTGATTGACAGATTTGTAGCTACAAGGCAGCTTGGATGCGGCTTCCCCTCCGTTGTGATTTTTGATGAGCATAGAGTAGCAGTCAACATGAGCACCGTCAGATCCAATCCCTCAAATCAGCTTATGGGGGTTCGACGTCGTCGACATCTTTTCGCTTAACAGGCGTCATCGTCGAGCACTGGTCGCTCTCATTGCCTAGTGGATTCAGTTGCCGCCAAGAGGAGAGGTCATCCTTCTTCCCCGATTAGATCTGTCTGATTCCCCAACAAACTGGCCATTTTTCGCGGCGGAATCCGCCCACCACCAGCAACAGCAACAGCAGCTGTACCGGTACTGGAGCGACCCGCTGAATCTGAGCCCGAGGGGACGTTTCCTGATGATGAACCAGGTGGTCGGACCGGACGGCAGGCGGATGTTCCGGCCGACGATGCCGGTCCAGCAGATCAACACGACGAGGCTCTACAGGGGAGTGCGGCAGAGGCATTGGGGGAAATGGGTGGCGGAGATTCGCCTCCCGCGCAACCGCACACGACTCTGGCTCGGCACCTTCGACACCGCCGAGGACGCCGCCATGGCCTACGACCGCGAGGCGTTCAAGCTCCGCGGCGAGAACGCCCGGCTCAATTTCCCGGAGCTCTTCCTCAACAAGGAAAAACCCTCTGTTTCTTCTCCGCCTTCCCCTGTTCCAACTTCATAATTTAATTTTATTATAATTTTGAGTAAAAAATGATGTGGCAGTGACATGGCGCCTAAGTGGATGTCACATGCTTTGCCATGTCAGGAGAAGTCAACAAAAGTTTGACCTCCGTCTGGTCAACCGTTATCTTTAACGGTCAACAAAATTGGGAGGACATAAATGACAAAAAAGAACATACGAAAGGACATAAATGGAATATTGAAAAGAATAGGACACAAGTGGCATTTTTGTCATAGTTCGGGTGTTGTAGTGGTATTAGCCCATTTTTTTAAATGATAATTAAAAACGCTAATTAAAAGGTTAGAAAAATAAAAATATTTTAATCTTACCTCATAAATCCGACCCACTTGATTAAATCATGAAACCAAATCTGATTAAGCATTTGTGCGTACACCTTACCTTTGGACTTAAACGTCATTCACTTCGTCATTTCATCATTCAACTGCTCTTAAAAAAATGTGATTAACCAATCTCATTAAAATAATAGGAAAAATATAATGAGTTTTCTTAAAAGTCATATCTTTACAAATTTATTTAATAATCATTCATGTTGATAAACTTTTAAATAAAACGTATTATATTGTTGTAGTTCAAAATTATATGATGGGACTTTGCTATAATAATTTGCAAGGCACGGTGTTTTAAACATAGTCGAACAATTTCATATTTCATCGTTGACTAGCGTGTATAAAGTATACCATCATTACTCTTTTTCCATTTCCAATCTCCTCCGATCGAGAGCAAATTAGTATTCGATCCCATTCTCCGACCACTCATCTCGATCCTATGGTTCGTCTCTTTGATTTCAAGTCAGACAAGCACTTCGTTGCTTCCTCTGACAAAACTAACATTCATGTATACGAGCTCACCAACCCCAACATCCATCCTTCCCGCATCCGAAAGACTCATTGGAGGGAAGTCGCCAACATCACTCCTGCTCCTGATCACCATGACGGCGGTGAAGACGATGAGGACCAAAGCGATCCCGACGAAGATGATGCAGCAGCAGATGGAGAGGAGGAGTCCTACAACGGGTTGATGTTCTTCGATGGTCACGGGAAGATCGAGGGACAAGAGGCGTTGACCAAGCTAGCCCAACACCTCACTCGACTGCGATTGATAGTGAGCCCCCAAGGGCACAGCTATCAAGATGTCTCCGAATTGGGAGAACACAAAGAGTTCGGGATTCACTATCTTCGATTGAATGATCTCTTCAATTGGACGGATCACGGGGTCAGCATGGCGGGCGTTACTATGTGGCGACGCCTCGTGTTAAAGTATATCATACCGAAAAGGGAGAAGCGAGCGGTGATGAACGGAGCGGTGAGCAAGGATAAGTACGAGGAGTTAAAAAAGATGGTGAGCAGTAAGGATAAGGAGTTGGGAAAGCTGAGGGAGGAGATGGAGGAACAAGACAGGGAGATACAACTGCTAAAAGAAGAGAAGGAGGATGCAAGTGAGCAACACGAGGCGGAGCTACGGGAGTTGGAAAAGGAAAAGGACGAGGAGTTGAGAATATTGTTGAAGAAGAAAGATGATGAGTTAAAAATACTGAAAAAGAGGAAGGATAAGGAGATACAAACGTTAAAGGAAGAGAGGGTGGACCCAAGTGAACAACAGCAGGAGAAGCTGCGAGAGTTGGAAAAGAAAAAGGACGAGGAGCTGAGAGAGATGATGAAGAGGAAAGGTGACGAGTTGCAAATGCTGGAGAAGAGGAAGGACGAGGAGTTAAAGAAAAAGAATGACGAATTGAAGATGTTGAACGTAGAAAAGGATGACGGAGCAAAGCTGATCAAAGAGAAGGACGAGGAATTAAAAACATTGAGGGACCAAGTGGAGAATTTGATCAGAAAGGCTAATAAGGGAGGTGAAGCTGCAACTGATGCAACTGCAATGGAAGGGAAAACACTGGTGAATAGTGATGAATGGCACATGTTGAAGAAAGATAAGGAAGCACTGCAGAAGTCGATGAACGAGAAGGACGTGGAATCCGGAAAACTAAGGAAAGAGAAGGAAGATCTGACGATAGCAAATGCAGCCGAAACGCGAAAGCTAAAGGACCAACTGTTGCAGCTTCAAGAGCAAGAGCAACGTCGCAACCAACCATGGGCGCTGACATACGCGACACGGTACCTCAGCGAGTACACGGTCGATCTACGCACCAGACGTCCCGTGCCACACGATACATGGCGCAATGCCAAAATCGAGGTACCACGTGATCATTATTATGTTTATGAATCAAATACCACGGCGACCTCCTCAACGTTCCCAATCATAAATTGGATCGTGGTGAATGAAGAACCGAAAGACTGGCCGCCTCCCCCTAAGATTGGTGTACTCTGTCAGCCTGGCCAATTCGACAAAAGCAACTGGTGGTTTGTGAAGACATTCCACCCAGACGGCCGCTTGGCGATGATGGCTTATTACGACGGCAGTCAGACTTCTTATACCAACCCCAACTATCAATACCCAATCCGACTTGCCTTTCCAATGAACTCTAAACTTTACACAACTACACCCTTCTTCCTGATTCCGTTAAATGGCGTAAACAAGCTTGCTTTCAGCTACAGGGACTAGCTAGCTAGGGGGGGTGATTGAGGGTTGGCTGATTAGTTTCCAATTTGTTTCAACTTTGACTTGTTTATGATGTTTGGTGTGTCGACAGCTTGAATTTTGTCGTCATTTGTCATCTCCTTGTAAATGTTGCTCTCCGGGCAGCTGTATGTGAGGTGTACAAATGTTAATATATATGGTAAATTGCAAATTTGGTTATTGAGATTAATAAAAAAAAAAATTATTTTATTTCATTTGTGGTCATTGAAGTTAATTAAACGGTTCAAGTTTGGTCATTGGCCGTTACCATCCGTTAGTCTCCGTTAATGATGTTGTTTTTTCCTGATGTGGTTAACAGAAATGCCGTGGCATCAAAATTTAACCTAAGTTTATAAAATGTGACCCACCACATCATTAAACCCGCCAATCAGAACAACAACCGACCCAACCTTGCAAGTTCATGCCAGTAATATCAAATTTATATCAAGTTAATAACAAGGTCTATATCAATCATATCAAATTCATATAAGTTCATAGTGTTCAGAAACTTGATATAATACGAAACTTAAATGTAAGAACATATATATCGCTTATATGAGTACATTATAGCATAAATACGAGCAACTTACAGACCAAGACTGACTACAGAGATTTTAACAATGAAATTGTTAGAATGTCATTTTCTCGGGTTATGTAGAAAGATTGTCATCTTCTATTTCCTTTTTAGGCGGCGTTTGAGATCTCTTAGGCACCACTTCATATCTCTTAGGAGCCATTTAAGATTTCATAGGCACCTGTTCATAACTCTAGAATTTTTTCAATAATAGCACATTTTAAAAAAAAATTACAAAAATAGCGTCCAGCCGAAATTATTTACAAAAATAGCACAATTTTTTATGGTTCGTCTCTTTGATTTCAAGTCAGACAAGCACTTCGTTGCTTCCTCTGACAAAACTACCATTCATGTATACGAGCTGACCAACCCTACCATCCATCCTTCCCGCATCAGAAAGACTCATTGGAGGGAAGCCGCCAACATCACTCTTGCTCCAGATCATCGTGATCGCGGCGACGACGAGAAGGACCAAAGCGATTCGGACGCAGACGATGCAGCAGCAGCAGATGAGGAGGAGGAGGAGTCCTACAACGGGCTGATGTTCTTCGATGGTCACGGGAAGATCGAGGGACAAGAGGCGTTGACCAAGCTAGCCCAACACCTCACTCGACTGCGATTGATAGTGAGCCCCCAAGGGCACAGCTATCAAGATGTCTCCGAATTGGGAGAACACAAAGAGTTCGGGATTCACTATCTTCGATTATGATCTCTTCAATTGGACGGATCACGGGGTTAGCATGGCGGGCGTTACTATGTGGCGACGCCTCGTGTTAAAGTATATCATACCGGAAAGGGAGAAGCGACCGGTGGTGAATGGAGGGGTGAGCAAGGAGAAGTACGAGGAGTTAAAAAAGATGGTGAGCAATAAGGATAAGGAGTTGGGAAAGCTGAGGGAGGACATGGAATGCACAAAGCTAAGAAAAGAGAAGGAAGAACTGAAGGCAGCGAATGCAGCTGAAACGCGAATGGTAAGAGACCAACTATCACAACTCCAGCAGCAGGAGCAACGTCGCAACCAACCATGGGTTTGGACAGGCGCGACACGATTCCTCAAGGAATACACAGTCGATGTACGCACAAGACGGCCTATGCCACGAGACAGTTGGGGCAGCCTCAAAGTCGAGGTACCGAGTGATTGTTACTATGTTTACGAGCCGAGTACAAACGCGAACTCCTCGCCGTTCCCGATGATAAATTGGCTTGTGGTAAATGAAGAGCCCAACGACTGGCCACCTCCCCCGAAGACCAGTGCAGTCTGTCAGCCTGGGCAATTCGACAAAGATAACTGGTGGTTTGTGAAGATAGCCCATCCAGGAGGGCGCTTGGCGATGATGGCTTATTACGACGGTAATCAGACTTCTTATACTACCCCGAACTATCTTTACCCTATCCGACTTCCCTTTCCAAGGAACTCTAGGTTTTCACAAGTACACAGTTCTTCCTCGTTGAGGTGAATGGTGCAAGAAGGCTTGCTTTCAGGTACCGGGCTTAGCTAAGGTGGGATTGAGGGCTGGCTAGTTTCTAATTGTTTCAACTTGTTTACTTATTTGGTGTATGATTGTTTTTGGATTTTGTCGTCGATTGTCACATTGCTGCTTTGCCACTAGGTCTCGAAAGTGTGTGTATCTTTCTCTATTAATCATAGACAATGACTTAGCCTATTTTTCACCCCCCAAATGTGAACAGTAGACATAATAATCCCCAGACATGATAAATCATAACAAAATCTGCAGCTGCTATAAACCATGTGCTGATCATTAAGGGAACATATCATCTAGTCCCTCTGCGACCAGCGCGGGTTCATCCTGGACCAAGAAAAAAATCTATCCACACAATTACTGTAACATCCCGAATCTTTTTCTGATAAGATATTGTTCGCTTTGAGTCTATACACCCGCACGGTTTTCGACTTGGTGTGCAATTCAGGATGACTTCTCATAAAGTCATCCATCCTTGTTGTACTCCACACTGAGCACGTTTAACTTCGGAGTTCTCACAAGAACTCCTCCATTACACCCCAAAACGCGTCTTGTCAGTTAAGTCCGGTTTCTTACTTATGAACCATGGATCTCTCTCGTGCTTTGTCGATGTGAGATTCGCCTAAGGTGTTACATACACCCCCCCCCCTTAGGACTCATCGCCCTCGTTGAGTTTTGCCCCACCATCGTTCAAGAGGGACGCGGAGAGGCTCTGATACCACTTGTAACATCCCAAACCTTTTCTCGACAAGATACCGTCCGCTTTGGGCCTCTACACCCGCACGCTTTTTGACTTGGGGTGCAATTCAGGGTGACTTCCCATAAGGTCACCCATCCTTGTTTACTCCACAGTCCACACTGAGCACGTTTAACTTCGGAGTTCTCACAAGAACTCCTCCTACACCCCAAAACGCGTCTTGTCAGTTATGGTCGGTTTCTTACTTATGAACAATGGATCTCTCCCGTACTTTGTCGATGTTGGATTCGCCTAAGGTGTTACAATTACATTGTCCAGTATCAGTTGATCGATAAAAAAAATCGGAGGTCTATCTACCCACACATGACACAACTGGAGATTCCCAGTTTGTCACTGTGTCATGATAAGTGTCGCCACGTTCGCTTAAATACCAAATGAGTCAGACCAAGAGAAAAATATCAAAAGAGCATTACAACATAAGGAAAAGAAGATGAAAGAGAGAAAAAAATCAGACCCAAAGTCCAAGCACCCCACACAATCAGTCGGCTACTGAATAAGGTCCAGACTGGAGAGCTGAAGGCTCCCCTCGCCGCAGGATCTTCAAGCAACATCTACACCACCGAAATAAGAAAAAAAAAAAGGAACAAGAGTTCCTGAGCACCCAATACTGATTGATTGCAACCTAGTTATTCTGCTAACTTGAAAATTCGTTAGTATATACTAACTAATATCCAAAATGTATTAACTAATATCCAAGTCTGCTGAGTAACTAGATAGCACAGACTAGTATTCTAAACATCACAAACTAGTATCCAGATAACAGATATTAACTAATATCCACAATCAACCAACTAGTATTCAATATGGATACTATTATGTGTTATCTAAATACTCTTATGTGTTATCTGGATACTAATTATGTGTTCTATGTATACTATTCTGTGATGTCTAGATATTAGTTTTTGAATTTGGGATAATAGTTGATTCATGGTGGATATGAGTTAGCAAACTTTGAATACTAGTCTGTGCTCTCTAGATACTTTAGTACTTGGATACTAGTTCTTGTATTTTGGATATCAGTTAGTATCTGCTAACGAATCTTCAAGTTAGCAAATTAACTTTTCCCGATTGAGGGAGGCAGAAAACATAAATCCTAAGATTGCTGACTAGACTAACAGAAAATGATCAGTAAATTTTTTTTTTGCTAATTTGCTATTATATCAACTTAGGTTAGCTAAAAAACGACTTAACTGAAAAAACCTCAGAAATCATTTGAATCTCTCTTAAAGAAGATTATTTGAATAAAAATAATTATTGAATTTTTAAAAAAAAGTTTTCTTGGCCAAAAATTAAATCTTTTATTCTCCTCTCTTTTTTTTGGTCGAGACCCAATAAGATCATAGTACGACCAATAGTTCAGCAAAGGAAAATAGGACATAAACACATGTTCCCCAATAGCTAGAGAGTGACCCAACGACGCAAGGAAATCCGCTACAAAGTTTCCTTCTCGATAAGTATGCTCAAGGCGGACCTGTCACTGCAGGGCCAGAAGTCGATGTATTTCCGCAATGAAGACTGCATGCGGATTTGATGGTGATGCGGACTGGATGAGACTGATCGCTGTCTGCGAGTCGGTCTGTGACTCGCTGTTACTGTCACCCTAGAAAATGGCCAAGTATAACCAATTCCTAAAGCGTAGTATAGCGGGTCGGGTTTTAATGTCAACCCGGGTCCTAGATGTGATGACTACTCGGTGAATTCTTGTTATTTAGCAGTGAACTTTTAGTGAAACTCAAGCAAACAAAACACAGAGCAAGTAAACGGTTTGTTGTCAAGTCAAGAGAGGTCACCCGGATATGGTTTCCCCCTAGACTGCAGTTAAGTCGGATTGCAATTTGCCAAGTTCAGTTTTCATGAAAGTTATACTGCGGAAGGTTCTCAATTAGCCTGAAGTCTCGACTAAAGGTCTCCAGACCCTCTCAATCTGAGTCTCTAGCGGGCGACTAACCTCCACCGGAGTAAACAGATTGAGGCCCTAATGAACCAAACCTCCACTACCGAATTGACTTCGGTACAGAATAGCGAATTGGCCCCTCGACTAAAGTCACCAATTCGCCACCTTCGATTAAGGGTACTCTATCAACCTAGGCAGATATTCTCATTCCAGGTCAAAGCAGAAACAACAGGAATTTGATCAGGATTCAAGTCATTCAATCATTCAAACCTCAATCGAATATAATCAATTCACAAACACTGTACTTGGGTTCATACAATCAGACCTAGCATACAAATCTAGGGTTCTCCATACCCAGATGAATGGGGAAACTACTCCATAGAGAAAGAAGCAAAAGCAGATTCAGACACGGAAATCATACTGTGAAGTTGGATTCCTGCTTCTGGACGTTTAATCGCACTTCTCCAAGCTCAAGACGGGCTCCAATGGTGTTGAAGATCGATCTATGGCGCTTGAGAACTCTGGTTCGACGCTTTCTCTCTCTAGGTATCGGTTTCTCTCTCAAAAACTCGGAACCCTTTGAAAATTGGCCTTCTTCCTCTTTTATCAGCTGCCTGGTCGCGATACCCGGTCAAAATACCCGGTCGGGAATTTTATGGTTCGACCGGGTATTGTGAAACGCACCGTTCCACTAAAGGCGAAAATCCCCGGTCTACCACCAAAATCCCCGACCGGGGATTTAAGGCCTTCGCCCGGGCCCCCTTCTGTTTCTCACGGGTGCCAAAAACGATAAATACCCGGTCGGGTATTTTGCCATCCGACCGGGTATTTTCCTCCTGAAGCCCCCTTAGTCCCAACTCGGCTCCTTTCAACCCAGAACTCGTTTCTCCGCCTCGATTCCAACGCCGGGTCCTGAAATATGACATAAACACACAACCTAGCGTGAAATCGGCTTAAAACACGAGATTCCACATCACAAACGACTTCAGAATAGGGGTGAAAACATGTATGATTATCGGTCTATCAAACTCCCCCACACTTAATCGTTTGCTTGTCCCCAAGCAAACCAAGTTAGACACTAGGTAAGCTTACATATTTCATTCAACCAACATTGGGGACAAGTCATAAAGGCACAAAACACGTGAATCGCACTGGTTTTCAAACATCAATACATGCACAACCTCAATGACAACCTGGACAACCACCACAAAGGACATTCGAGTGCAGCAAATCGAGTAAAGGAAGAGTCTCCCGTCTGTTCACTAGCCAACCTAGACTTGATTCAACCACTTACTCAAAACAGCCAACTCATGCATCCAACTCAAAACATCATAATAGAGACCGAGCAATCTAGGTCCTCACCGGGGTACAAGAGCATATAGAAAATGAAAATGAATCACTCACTCTCGACCAGTGGGGTCAGGACAATGTGATGCGAAAGATGCGCATGCTATTCCTCTCAATCCCTATCATCTCTTCACCATGATGGCAGCCTCTAAATGCTAGAGCTCACATATGGGTGTCACCACTAACTAATCAGGAGGTCTTAGACACAGGTTCAAATGACTGGTTAGGGTCTTGGACATGGGGAAAAAGCCTTTTAGGTGGTGGAAGTATTCATAGCCAAAAGGTTCCACATTTTCCAAACACACAATCACAGTCAAACAACCCGGTATTTTCTTTCTGCTATTCTGCATTACTCAATATCTTAAGAGCACAAGAACGAAGGAGGCATAAACATCAGCATTTCCAAGCCAGACTGCTAAGAAACACTGCTTACTGGGCATTATTCAGATTTTTGGTGGTGGCTCTCTTTTGCTTTGTTTTTCTTTCATTTTTTTTTCATTTCTTAAGAGAGCCACCACCTCTGCATAAATTTCAAACACGTGCCCAACTTTTAAGCACTACCTCCAACACTCACATAGACTTTAGCAGAAACAGCAGAGAATATGTAAAAACCACTCTGTGGAACCTTCTAAAAGATGCAACAAGGGTGATTTTTTCATTATAAACCAAAAGAAAGGATAACACACGGCTCAAAGGGGCTGACTAGGGGATATGACACATCAGGACAGTCAGTTTTTGGGCGTGGGCTAATCCTATGCCCCCATCATCTTAGCTAGTGACAACGTGAATGCTACACATCATGGAAGAGGGATCTATCGCACAAGAAAGAAACGAGCAGGCTCAAATCTCACATGGCTACCTATATGCTCTATCTCACATTCTGATACCCTGAACTAGATGCATAAACGACTGTCAAGGGCAAGTAATCAGATCAAGTCAGATCAAGTCACAGTTGGCAAGCAAACAGTTGACAAACTG